TCCCTGGTTACAACTGAGTGCCTGTTCCTGAGGCTGGCTGAACTGTGGTGGCGTTCGGCATGTGTTGCCATTGCCAGGTTAGGGCTAGAATGAGGCTTACCTTTGTGCCGCAGATTCAACCAACCCATGAATCGAAGCATCGCTAGCCCCGGTCGGTCGATTGAGATACACGAGAAATCCTTAAAAAGTAGTAGAGAAAGGGCCGATCCGATTCCTAGAGCTCAGGCTTCTTTAGTCTGCCTGTGGGCGAGTTTGTATCGGGTCATTATCTAGGCCTCCTACCCCCCCCCCCCTTTTTCCTCTAGTACCTACTGTGAAATATTTCATTGCCGTAGCTCTGGTTCTACCAGTACTCCAGAGCAAAGACTTTTCTTATATTATTACATATATCCCCCAGCTGCAGGTAGCGAAAAAAAAAAAAAAAAAAAAAATTAGGCGAGTGAATGTTTTGGGTACCTGGTTCAAAAAAGAAAAACAGGCACCCCTTCACCTTGACGAAGGAGGTAAAAGAAAACCAGAGGCGAAATCAAACATCAGATGGACAAAGCCGAAAATGGAAGTTTTGCAGAAAGAAGAAGGCTAGCCGAGAATGGCCGGAGATGTTTGCCGTTCATTGGGACGGAGCCAAAACCAAAATATGTCAATAAACAAATAGAAACGATTGACACTGAAGATCCAAGCCCAATCGTGTTGATGATCCGGCATATGTACCGTTCGCACCTACCAACCCGAAATTAGAGCAATTAGATGTTCTAGAATTTGTTTCGAAACATCGAAGCTCGTGAAGACTGTTGTCCCGCTACATGATTTACAATGCTCGAAGCCAGGAAAAACAAACGAGTCACTCAACCTGGTAGGAATTGTTCCGCTGTATCCTTTTCACAGCAAGTTCTTGTCCCTTATGAACGGATCGGAATAATATTAGTGAGGTCGAGCGGCCAGTATCGGGCATCGAGCGATAGGGTCCTAGAGTACTCTATCCGCACGAGGAGAGGTTCACTCTGATTCGCCATGCATTGAACCTAGAGTACCTACAAGAGGGCTAAAAAAGTCGGATAAGAAAAGAGGAAGCTACATACCTTGCTTCGTAAGACACTTTGGCATAAGTTTCAGTACTGAAATGATTCCTCCTCACATTTTGCACGTCGCACATCGCGGGCCATACCAGTTATCACAACACCAGGTTTCATCAGTGGCGCTCTCAAGGCACGTTATGGGTGTCACACCGCCCTAGATGACAGATGTGGCACACTCCCGCTGGATCTCAAGGGAATCAAAACCGTGTTGCAAGATCTAAGGAAAGTTCCGCTGCGAGAGAAGTAGCCTAGTTGGGGTGAATTCTCCATGGTCGTTCAACTCGGTGAAACTGCTCAACCGTCCAATCATGAGATTCGAACGCTGATTAAAATCTATAAATTTCACTTGTCGTGCGGTAAATAACTTTGTGAATCGGCTGTCTGCAGGCTTGACGTTGGGGATTCGCCCGGTTCAAAGATCCGTGTATGGTGTGGGGCATATCCCGTTGCTTCAACCTTGCTTCCGAAGCATTGCATTTACGCTACGCTCCTTGTAGCATGTCAACAAGGATGACCTCCCGGAACATGGTCACTGGTCAAGAGATGGTCAAACACCACCCTTGGAAGTCAAGCTTAGGACTTCTATGAGCCATGGCAATCTTGGAGAATTCCCATGTGAGGAGCTTGATGGGATTCCAAGGCGTACTCCAAATAGGGCATCCTTGTTCCTTTACAAGTGACCGTCACTCCTCTGGAAACTGAGGCCATCTTTATGATAATCAAGTAGAATGCCCTGCCCCGTTGATTCACATGTTTTTCAGACTCAATAGAGCAGGCATGAACTCTAGTGTAGTCACAACATGTGCGTATGATCCTGAACGTTTCCGAGGAGGAGCTGCCATGATGTGACGAAGAATTTGGGTTGCAGGATAGACATGGATCTGGATATATCAAGCTCTAAAACACTAAAACAGCAAGTAGAGGAGCTTTGAAATAGTTACCTAAATCCAATCTAGTAGCAACGGATGGTTGTTCCCACAACCACAAGACAAGAGTGGAGATTTTCGACAAAAGCAATCTCCCCCCAATTGCAAGTGCTCCAGGAACGAATGTGTAAGAGAACCGCGTCTGGCGTTTCGGTGTCACTGTGTAACTCGCGCTGCCGATTGCCCTTTACCTTATCAATGCGGGCAGCTCAAATGTGAAGCACGTTCGGGATTGGCACTACCTCATAATCCTTTTGATCGGATCGATTTAATTTGTGGTTGATTGACCGGAATACCGGGAGTTCCACGATAAACCCGGTTTCTAGACGAGTTCCGACGGAGGCTCTGCTTACTACGGGGTGTCAGAAATTGGACCTCGGACTGGTTGCGGGGTTAATAACGACATTCCTCAGCGAGTACCGAAGATGGTTGTTGACAATCTTGCACAGCCTTGTTTTATCAGATAACAGGAAAGATCGACCGGGATGTCCCGCAGCTGAGCCACCACATCTGATGATGGCGAGATGCAGCTAGGTTTAAAAGCAGGAACATGAAAAGATACAATGTCCTTTACACCCACCAGAGCCAACGCCACTGTCTTGGTAGAGCAGAGCTCATGCTGTATTTTCTGTAATCGGTTTGAATCCCCAAAGGATAGACGGCGTTGCGTGGAATTAGTTGTGAAAGCTGACATTGAGACAGCTCCGAGCGAATGATTCCCCGAAGTCTTCGTAGAGTAGACGATCATATATAAATAACGGACACGGCGTTGACTTCCGTAGAAGGCCTCTCACATGGCCCTCTCGGTATGAAGAATAACACCGTGTTCGTGACATCAATTGGCGCTTGTACTTGCTGGAAAATTAAGTGTAGTCCGGAGAACCCTCACAAAACCCTCCTAATGATGTGAGTGAGCTGATATGAGTATTGGTCTCTAAAGCTATCTCGCTTTTCTTGAAGGTGTGATTTCCTGGGTTTGATTTCGGCAGGTACATGTTCAAGATTCGTGGATGTTACGGGGAATACTCGGGGCCGAGACATCCACTTGGTTCGCTACGAATGATCGCCGGCAGCGCACCCATCCCAAAGTAATATTGACTATTCTTATTCCAAGTTTTTGTTTTTCTGACAACGTCTCCATGGCATTTGGCATTTATCGTAGATCTTCGCTGCAGTCAGATATATCTTAAATGCGAGAACAGGGAATGAGATCTCAGAATAGAGCGTATTTGCCAACCGTCAATTTCAACTATTGACACTTCAAACTTGACAGTTTCGGGAGGCAAAATTGACAGTCCCCCGCAGTGGCCAAAATCGATCTGGTTAACGGTATGACAGAATAAACCCCGAAAACCAGACAACCCATCACGCTACCTGTGAAGTACGCTGTTGGAATACCCATGATACTAGCTTCGGTGGTAACAAAACTGGGTACTTGTGATCCTCCTGGTATATCTCACAGCACGCCGCCCCACCGAAATTCAAAATTAACAGCCCCGGTTGCCATTTCGGAGCCCCACAATTTGTAAATTCTTGAAATTGACGGTTGGCAAATACGCTCTAATACCTGGAGTTACTAGCGCTAGCTAGAGTAAATGAAAATGAACGACCGAGTAGAGTCTCGGAACGACAACCCGCTCGATCACCGTTATAGAGTAAAAGCAAATTCTACTTCAAAAAGGAAACATGGAGGTCAAACTAAATGATAGCCCCATACACGCACTTCATCACGAAGATCTACACAGTGTGTTGACTGGCAATACGTACGTACAGCGTTTAATTTCTGTTGTTGGCGCTGTGGAAAGCAAATATTTGCCCCTATTATCGATGGCGAACTCTTTCGGAGCTGCGCATGATATACTTTCAACTTCGCCCGGCCGGATATATGCTCCTTTGGGGATTTTCAACAATTTTGGGGGGTGCTCTGGTCGATGAACGTTGAACTAAACTCTCACGTAAGGCAGATTGCACAGCCACAGTACTGGCTCGGTAATGCGCTGTTACCAAGGCGAATAATAACCTTATCTTCATCTTGATCTGTAAAGCTCTTGCCTTACTGTAGGTAGATGTACGTACTCGCGCTGCCGGATTGAAGCCGCTCAGACAAAAAAGGTAATTGATCTGAATACTGCAAAAACGTGAGCTCTTATTGGCTGCCAGATCACTCGCCACAGTTCTTTGAGCGGCTTCAATCCGGCAGCGCGAGTACTCTAAAATTGTTTCAATGAAACATGTCTCATCGCTCAGATCTTAATGCCACCGCATAGCAACACACGTTTATAGGTAAATACATGTAGTACTACGCAGAAAGCTCTCTAGACAGCACTGTGTAGGGTGTATACAACGACATGTGTATGTGCGTGTAGGTGTGTGTGGGCGTAAGTGTGAGTGTGTGTAGAATTGTTTGCCTATCTGCCTATCCTAAGTGTTGCCTGCACAGTAGTCGTCGTCAGCAACGACGCCCAAGGTCGATATGCGAGATGAATTTTCTGTGGATCTTAGCAGACGGTGGCAAAAGTGCTCATCAAAAACTACTGTAGGTATTATAATCCGTCCATTTAAGTAACTATGGGCCAAGATGTAGGAAAACTTTCTTTGCGTGGTGGATGATAGTCGGCGTCGTTGTTGTTGATGTGGGTTATTATTGTACAGCGATGGGGAAAATTATTGTAAGAGTCCTATTGGCCAGGGCAGCCACCTAAACCCTGTTTTTAGACCCCTGTTTCTACAATAATTTTCCCCATCGCTGTATGTTGCTCTTTTCCGTTTGAAGTGAAACGGGTTTTTCACAGCCATCTGATCTCCTATTGGTGTACCTGAAGGCTTAAGATGACAACGCGTCCACCACCTGCGATGTATGTATGAAAGTAGGTACACAACAATAACGACCGCGGATGAATCCGTGAAGATACCCAATCATACGATAATTTATTCTTCTATGTACCTACACTGTCTAGGTGTGCTGCGCCGCAAGTGGACCCACAAGTCTGCCCCAAAGTCATCGTGTGAGATACGCATCCATCATCCCCAAAGACACCCCGATGATAACCTCGTTTTTCGGACCCTCCGCTCCGTTGGCTAGGAGTCGATCGGTTCGGAACTTCTCGAAAGCAATATGTGCGCCACCGCTCTCACCAGGATGGTTCAGAAACGACATATTCCTGCGGAACACTACGAGTCAAAAACCTTTCCCAGCTGAAGTCGACGCATAGGCATTCTCGAAAGAATTCTTTTTTTTTTTTTTGGGATAGGCGAATGCGTATTTGAGATAGATGTGTTTAGCCATTAAATCAGGATGGATCTGAGTGCGTAAACTGCCGAAGAACTGCCTACATACACATGTAGAGTAACTTCTACTTTACATACACTATGTATTGAATGTGGGTTAGTTACAAGTACGTATCGTATGTGCGACATTAACCCAACTTGACCAGATATTTGGGATTTCCAGCAAACCCCAGTTAAATCATTTGAGTGATCGATGTTCCACGTTCCTTTCCCGAGCACAGACCACCTCGGTTTAAGCGGGGAAGTTCAACAAGTATGAATTACGGAGTAAAGGTACACAACACTCCTCAACTATTCAGAAGAATGGAAAGGGGCCGGGGGAGCTCTCGGTGGAGAAGGGATCCTCACCTTCGTAAACCTTTGCGACTCAATGGTATTACTGATCAATCAGTGATGGCTATCTCCTGTCTTTGTGGCGACTGGTATCGATATCACTCTCCTTCGACTTCCTTTTTTCTAGACCGGATGAAACTGAAGAACTGACAATCAAGTTCGTTAGCCTTATCAATCTACGAGGACCTAATCTGAATGAAATCAACGTAGTTGACGTTTCGGGAATTCGACCAAAGATAATAGGAGGAAAGTAATGCCATGCTAGACCTACATTAAATTTATCGATATCCTTTCACCTCATCGACATCGAATTGATTCCCTGCACTGTTTCACTAGTTGTCGTTGACAAAAATAGTGATATTCGCCTCTGAAGATCAAACATTTGATCACTAGGGTATAGTGACTCTAGACTTTATGGGAGAACGTATCCCGGGACTAGTTGCCCTAGAATTACCTTTGGTCACAGTAACTACAATTGGAGTTATCCCCTAGATTCATGACTGAGTCTTGAGGATATACCAATTCTGTAAAGGAGAAAGAGGGCCAATCAAAGTTTCATAGGGGACCAATTCTCGTGATCGGCACTTCTTTTCAACAAAGACGGGAAAAATAAGGGTGTGCTTAATCGGAAATCGGAAAACCATGGCAGTTCAAAATACCTGGTCCTTCGATACCCTTTTGGAGTCATTAATCTGATAGAATGAAATTAGCTGCATGTCACATTTAGCTATTGCGGTAACTTACCCTTATAGTAACACAGATTCCTTCACTTAGTGACAGTTCACATACACGTCTAACTATGGACCAGGTCTTCAAGTCATTCACCCTGAAAATACACTGTCTGCCTCATCGAATACACCGCACTACCTCGTAACTGCTCCGTCAATCTATGGGCACATTGCTATCCTTGAATATCCTGTCATGACCTCTCCATTGTCACACGACGACAATGATTTTTTTCCGTCTAGCAAACATCTTTGAGGCCACTCGCCCTGCTAACACGTATCCTGCACGGCCGGTCATGCGGACACTCTGTCAAATATCCCTCACAAAGGCCTCCAGACATTGACAAGGGTTGGTCGAAGTTGTCGATCACCCTGGTTCCATTGAAATTTGTGAACGATCCCTCGATTTTGACTCTCTCAGCCCTCGCTTGTGCGAGCGAGTCCTTGCTGAAAGGAATAGCACGGTGCCACAAGCAAGTCACAATGCCGCCTTGCCTGCCGACCCGTCACAGAATCACACAGAATAACACGGAATCACACGGAATCACAAAGAATCACACCTCTTTTAGCACTTAGATACCGCTATGGTACAACTTGGAAGTAGGAGCAAAGAGCTAATGCACCCTGACAACTCTAGCTGTCCTTTGACTCAGTTTGAGATGGTTCTGGTCCTATCCGCCCCGAGATTCTCTTGACAGGAAGGAATACACTGTTAAAGAATCGGCCGGAGTTCCAGTTTATAAACTGGCCGCTGCAACTGACCACTGGGCCAATGCAGGGGCCCCGTGTTTGAAGTGTGCGATTTTTGTACACTTACACGCGGTGAGAAAAGAAGGCAGGCAGGTGGTCTGATTCAACACTCCGCCACGGGTATTTCCTGCTCGGGGAATCATTAAAGGTATGTGCTTGGTATGTGCTTATTCCACAGAAAAGCTTGATAGGCACGATGCAATTGCAAACTTCAGACATGCATGGAGCAATTGAAAAAAGAGAATAGACTGCCTTTTTAACCCACAGGTTGCGATCCATGTTCCTTTTTCCTTCAACAATTACATGATCGAGATGCATAAAAGGTGATATTATCTGCAGGAGTTATTACCCCACTCTCTTAAATGAGAAACCCATTTCTAGTACGTGCACTACTTCATGTAATTTCTTGGACAGGATGAAAGTTGACGGCATGCTCTTATTGTTAGTCGCAAGAGTGCCATCCGGCCTTCAATTTTTGGATTTTCTGACACACCTTATGTTCTTTTCCGCGCGAATACCCTCTCGCACTAGACTACCTGATTTCTAGTAAAATCGAATCGGTCGATTCAATGCCTCTTTCTAATAAAGCCAAGTTTTAAGGCAGTTAGAGAATATTGATTTTTCCGACAGAAGTTGCGCAATACAGTTCCCGGTATCATGTCGGCTTTTGTCACCCGGGCACTTGAGAAAAGAAATATCCCCCGCCTTTAAAGGCAGATAGTCGGTCGTTCACTAGATCCATGCAGGAATAATCAATTGTGTAACTAATCAAGGCCTAGATATCGGCCGGCACAACGAAAGGGGGAACTGTATATTTAAGCCCCTGTATAGAGTTAAACTCCACATTTGACCAGATACATGTATCTAACTTTATTTTTTTTTTCTACAATGAAGATGATTCGAACTTTCAGATGTAAGCTTTTTGTAGCTATAGCTTGATTGTAATACTCTATGGTCAATTAAAGAGCATCATTTGCTCGGAATATCTATGCATTTAACCCTGGAGAGAATCCTCAGGTATAACATGATCAGTAATCCGCATGTAGTTATTGACATGTGTGGCGTATAGCTGTAAACGATAAGCATCCCAGGGTTGTTATTATTAGCGTATAACTTCTTTCATGAAACGCAGGTATGTACTAGAGGCAGGTAATAAGTACCGGGCAATAAGCTTCAGACTGGACTTTTATTGGAGGTTATCGTCAAGCACACATATCGATTGGCGAGAAAAAGACCTGCGTTTCCCGGTACTCATAGCTTATTATATGGCCTAGCCCGAGCTTACTGGTACCGCGGTAATATATGGTTGGTTCAACTTAAGTTCTTAATGATAACTGCAATTAATTGGCTCGTGGAACAATGTGCGCGTGCCATGGTCAATATTTGAGGGTCCTATTGTGTAAGCTTGGATTAATACGTGTAAGTACGATGTAGTGATTGGATTGCAATTGTGGCAAATGGGTCCAGCGGTTTGACTTAGAAAATCGCATGTGGCGGCAACATTAGTCAGTCGAATACATTGCGGCTCACGTCTCACGCACTATTTCAAACAGGAGAGACACGCCGGGGTATCAATACTGACTAGGATATCTTGCTTCTCTTAGCGTTGAAGGACCACAATCCCGTGCAATATTTACTTTTTTAAGGGCTCATGATCGATACATGTACCTTGTTGGCAGTACCAAGCATACATATACAGAAGTATGTAACTCGCTGGATTCAAAGAAACAAATATGAGCTGCCGGGATACTGCAGGGCTCGCGTTCAAATTATGATAGCTATATAGTGTCCCAGGCTCCTAAACCTTAGCAAAGACCGATGTCGACACAGAAGACTATTTTGTGTGTATCGGAACAGCTACAGGCCCTAAAATCTATTCGCTTAGAATTTTTCCTCCAAAGACCCATGTTGTAAATGGCGCGGTTAAATTTGGGGAAGTCAAGTGGGTTGATTGTAATTCTACATGATGTTACCAGGATAGTCGAGCGCTCCGCTGAGTGAAACTGAAAAACATACTGATTTTACCCGAATAGCATGAAAAGGTATGATAAGGCACGGTAATATTGACGATGAAATATTTTGAATATGGGCCTATATACAATATCACCAAGATCGAAATTTCTTAGACAATATTTTGGGGCGATCTCCTTCGTACCACACTTAATATGGTGCAATATGATACCCGAGTGATTTAGCATGATTCTGCTACCTGACCAGCTTAGTATTGTTCCGTGGATCGCGATTAATTATAAGGTCGAGGCTCGAATCAATGACAGAGTTTCAGGCTTTACCATGGGCCCACGTACGCAGCAGTACGGGCTAGTGTGACGAATATGGAGGGCGCGTCATGTCACGGAAGGACACATGTTGGTCAAGTAAATTAGACTGTCATGTCCTGATGTGTGGGTCGACTATACTTTACATCTTCATCGCGTCGCCCTCTCATCTCGAGATCTCTTGATTGATATATACTGCATGGTCCTGTCCCCATTCTATTGGCCTTCTTTTTCGAATTTCGCCCATTGTAACAGCCGACGATCTAAAGCACAATCTAACATGCACCTATTATGCTTAGTATCGACCCCGCGCTATGGTTAATGAATACATGTACACTCTGGGTGAGAACTGACATAAAAATATAGTGGACACCACATGGAAGTACGTACCGGTGGTAACTGCAATCAGGCGGTGATACAGCTCATGCAAGGCTTCGGGAGAATTGATCATGGTTTGCTGATACGAAAAGAAATAGTAGGTCCAGATTCGACATGCAGACATTAGGTTTAAAACTATATCGCATGCTTAAAATACATAAGAAAGGTCCATCGTCAGCCAAGCATGTCCTGCGACTTAGGTTGTTCATCCTCTGGCTTCTGAATGACACTTCTGATTCACGAGAAATTGCTCTCTTATCGGCCGCATACAATTTATGGTTTTTCGATCTAGGACCATACGCCAACGAATTGCCAATCGCCCTCCGGCTATACGGAGCGTAATCATTTCCATTTCAAGTCCTTGTTGGTCTAGAATATCGAGCTTTATCCACAAGAATTACTATCATTGGTGTCTCACATAGCGGGGATCCGGAAGAATATACACCGCACATCTTTCTCGTCGGCCGTTATGCATGATGTGGATATTACTTCATCGCCCAGTATTCAAACCCGCTCAACTTATCTTTCAACATCAGCTTCGAGAATGCTAATTTTTATGATAAAAGCACAGACCTTTTGGCCAAAAGGGGCCATATAATGCCAATATATATGAAAATTGTCCACCGATGGGGGATCTCACCATCGGTGGCGGTATTTCACCACCGGTGGGAAATTTTCATAAGTTTTGGCATTAATGATTGAACATTTACTTATTTAGTATAGTGCAGCATAAAGACCGAAACTCAGTGTTTATACCGGTGGAAATGTACTAATGTAGGATAGCGTGCAGATACAATGACTGAAATTCAGTGCTTATACCACCGGTGGTAAATAATTTACTACCGTTGGTAAAATTACTTTTGACACATTTACCGCTCCATAGGGCAGGGTCAGTAAATGACATCTGATAACCGACGTAAACGGATGCATCGGGTTGGCCGGTCGATGATCTTAGGGAAGCCAAAGTTGACCACGCAAACCACATCTCGAAGTTCATCTCTCATTTTATAATGCTTACCGATGCCCGAACTAGTGCCAGCTCAACAAACGTCCTTCTCCACAGATCAAAACATTGTTGGAAATCAGACTCATGGTTAATCACTCGGATGCCTAGGATATGGTTTTCGAATTCGAGAGACATTTTAAACTCCTCCCCTTATCGACATTGATACAATTGAACGATATTGGCTTCTTTGCTCTTAAACACCTGCTATCAATCAATTAGCGCCTGTCGCGGTGAGATATATATCGGTGGAGGCCTACTTTCAAACCCCGAACATCCTGGATCCTGCAATTTTCGAAGAATTTCTCAATTGGACAGTACCCCTAGAACCTCCCGTATTAATATAACAGTGACGGTCAAGTGTTCGCCACGTGTGTGGGAAACGAGACAGATCTATGTACTTCTTTTCTGGAAGACTCTAGTACGTCATGTAAATTTGAACACATGCTCGTTTCCCCCTATTTATATAGCTGATGCAATCTTATTAACAGTTCTCCGTGGCGCAATTGGCTAGCGCGTTCGACTGTTATTCATTTGACATCGAGAGGTTGACAGTTCAAGCCTGTCCGGGGAAGTTAATTTTGTCTTTATACCCCTGTCCACCGGCTTAAGGTGACATGGGGGGTACTTTTCAGTACGTACAATCAATTAGTCATGTTTTTTAAAGTCCGGTTTTTTGCTACAAGCTCTAGCGGAGGATATTATCGAGAGGCAAACAAAACTGAGGAAGATGTCGTGGCGAGTTTGGAGTTTGAAGTTTGGATTAGAATTACAATTACAGATGGGGGTGCACAGACAAGGTGCAGATGGGTTGGATGCCAGAGTCAATAAACCTCTCGGCTAATCAGGATATAGAGTTTTAGATGCTATTTCACAACCTATGAAGCCTAGAATACAAAGAAAACACATGTCATTGCATGGTTTTGTTCTTTCATCTGGGTGAGAAAAATTTGAAAAAGGGTTCTTAGATCATGATCCATCATTCGGTCGGGTTGCAATTTGCGATGCCTGTTTGGGTCAAGGTTAGGGTTGGGGTGGAGTAATCCTAACCCTGATTTTGTACCGCACCTACATAGTCGATTAGGGTGGAATTAGGGTAGTGTAGGGGATGTGGACTGAGTCCCTTCTGGCCGGAATTAAGGAAGGGGTGCGGGGATAGATCGGATGGATGGAAGCTTGGAGATTAGTACATACCGATGGGATGGAGCTGGAAGACCAATGAGAATCAGCAGTTTGTTGCAAAAGAAGATTACCGTGCAGGTTTAGCAGCCTTAGCACGAACTAGTCTGACTTGGCTTCTAAACCTATATGTAAATACTACAAATTAATTGACCAAACCACAACAAAAAAAAATGGTATTCCATATATTTTTCATTCTAGGTTTCCATCCAGGTTTTTTCTTCTTTTTTTTTTTTCAGAATCGAAAGCTCAACTCTTTTTTTTTTCTTTTTTTCTTTTTTGGTTTAATTCATTAATTGTATACAGACCGTAGTCTATGACAATATCGCAATACATACCTCAGAACTTCCCGATCACTTCCTCCACCTCTTACACCAAAGAAATAAATCATAAAACAATAGGCGAAAGCTCAACTCAAGATGGACTCAAGAACTAAATCTATTTAGCCGGTAGCTATAGGCCAATCACAGTGACCATCTAAAGTTCTATCTTCATCCCTTCGTCTGTAACGGACACCTGACGCTAGTGGGTAGACTTAAGTCCTTCAGGAAGGTTTTCTTGAAAATCCCCTCAATTAGACCTAACCCTGGTTCCGCGAGCCTCTTTGGTGTCTAAAGTCACGCCCGTCACCCATCCTCTAGCAGATTCCTTCTCTTTTGGTAGTGTTACATTCCCAATCACAGCTAGTTTTCTGAATATCACAACGCCAGATCAGCGCCCAGAGGTGGCGAATTTCGGGTACAGACGAAGGGATCCGCAATTTGAATACCCTTTCTAGAGTCTGTGTAAGGCTTTAACTACAATAGACGACCTCCCGGGCCATTCGGACACCCCCCTCACTCGGACAGTCAATGATGATTGGTGGAGAAGAGGTACAGAAGCTACTTATAACGTTGATCTTCTGTTTTCTACGTTAACTGTCCGAGTGAGGGGGGTGTCCGAATGGCCAGGGAAACCGTCTATACGTGAAAATGCGATGTGATACATTGCGGTATTGGAGCCACGCTTTTAGCTCCACGAGTTGAATAGAGAGTCGAGCACTTCGACAAAAGGTCCTACATATGAGTTGAACGATTACAAGTCTCTTGCTAAAACAGCTAGACTTTCTGTTCAACACGCGCAGCTAAGTAGCTAAAAGACTCTATTGTGCGAGAGTGTCCGAATTAACTCTATATACTATACTGCCAGCTAGAGACACCTGTAAAAAAAAAAAAAAAAAAAAAAAAAGTATTGCCACTGTTAGTATTTGGGTAGAACGCTCATAAATTTAAACACCGCATGCACCAACCATAATTGCTTCGACTCCACTAAATATTTCCGGTATTGTATTACCTGCCGGCACGTATACTCATGTACATGTATGCACGATTGACCCCCTTACCTTATAACACACGCAGGCCCAGTTACCAGTTTGAGCTTGATTCACAAATTTCAAGACCCTCCCTGCGTTACTTACTTGCAGGTTCCATAGATCTCAATAGGATGTTCATGATGCTTCAAACAACGTGGTGGGTAGATAGCTAAATTTAGGTATATAACACTACTCCGGGTAGTCATAGCCAGAAGCTTCGAGGGCCAGCGATGCCTACACGCTTTGCGATATCCCCTCCTTTATTTTCAGGACTCGTGGCGATTTGTAATTGTGGCTCACTATATAGAATTTAGAGGCTAGCTGGAACCGTCGACTCGCGGTGGTGCAAAATCGACCCATTCTGTGTGCAGAATTCGTAGTGGTGTATACTACTTATCGTTAAAATTGTGTCTATCACGGCCATGGCGCCGTCGTGGGCCTAACATCTTGTGATATATTACCGGGAACAGACGAGGCCGGGAATACCTTCACGAAGAGCCGGCCATATAGCTATACCATAAAGCTAACATCGAGCTATAGCACCCACCGAACAACCATCCAAATCCAGTCCCCACAACGCGATACCCCTACTTCGATTCCTCGAACTTGCCAAATTTCCCTCTCGAATACATGTAACTAGTTAATAATCAAGTGGGAAGCGAGTGAGCGCCAGGTTTATATTTGAGGATGATCATTGACCCTAGTTAGCCCTTCTCCTCATGCTCATCTCATTTACCTGGCATCAATAGAGGCCCACGGAACGGCAATCCCCTCATGGGGTACCTTCTCCACTAGTGTGATTTTGTGAGACAGTCCCCACCTTTGCCTCTGGGAGGGCAGTGGGAGCTAGGTAGATGCGAAATGCGCAATATTACGAAAATGATTATTATGTAGCCCTGAGCACTGCTTCTCCTGGTAGTAGAGTTGCAGGCGCACCCAGCTTTCTGAATCCATTTCTTTGTCGGTGCTAATATTCTGTCCCCTTTAGCTTCTTGAGATCTCTGATTATATCGTGACGGCCATAAGATTTCCAGTGATTGCTGCATGGTTCATGGTTCATCATCATAACCAACACCAACTCCGGCCACATTTCTCAGCTAAGAGTGATTAGAAACCGCCCTCCCTCTCCCCCCACACGCACACGCTACTTCCCCTACACCCCACGAGGTAAATGCCTCTCGTCTTAATAGCGGTACTAATACCGAAATTGTCTTCTTAATATTAGCTACTATATGGGCCTTATCATCGCATGCTCAGTCATCTACTCTTTCAAGCTAGAAGTCCTTCTTGTGGCGCTGGATATGGCTAAATATATCCTCCACCACATTGGTTGTAGCTACGTATCGTTGTGCATGTAGGACAGTAGAGTAGAGACTGGAGCATAATATGTGCAGGTAGACATATATAGAGATAGAGAACTCAGGAAAGGAGAACCAAGCTGCAACCAAGCAAGGCTTTGATCAATTTACCGCAGGCTGTCTGTCGAATAGGCGCGCCTATATAACAACCAAAAGTCTTTTTTCTAGGTTCTTCCTGCCCCCAGTGCCTTGCTTGCGGAAGATCTGATCGATCACGGAAACCCGCTGCACTTTGTGCTTGTTTTTTATTGGCGCACGGGCGCTCAGCTTGGCAGTACCAGTCGGCGCACGGAGAAGTCCATTTTGTTCTAGACCCGGGGCCCTCAGGGGTTCTAGGTACAGCTGCCTCGTAGATCTAGAACTCTGGGCTTTTTGGCCAGGTACTACTTGAGATATGTGGTTAGCCGATACATGAGCGTAGAGGGGACGCACTGCCAAAATATTGCTCTATGTATTCTATTCTATGTATAGAAGATGATGTATGTATGTACATACCTACGAACTGTCTTAATTGACGGTATTATAGCTTCAAGCGCAGATTTTATGGCGGCAATGTCCGCGCTGCGTTCGATTCACAACGCGGCTATCCGCGACTAATCCATTCAATCCATTCGAGAATCATCACCAAGCTCGACTCTGGTTTGATCAAGCTCTAGCGAAACAGATACGTGGCTACAATAGTACGTAGGTTGTATCCTGCGTGCGTAGCTACATGTCAGCTGCAGGCAATGCCACGATACTAACTCTTAGCTAGAGGAGAGTATGATAGAACGACATCCCATATCTCAAGCTCTCATTTGCATATCTCCAAAGCATAAGGACGCTCACCCAAGTCAATTCTCCATGCCTTTCGCAGGCATATATTCAAGCGCGTATTTTCCACCCAAATATAAACGTCGGCTGTGTTATGTAGTGCTCTAGCCAGCGCGACCTGGGCACAAGTGTGCGGCTAAATGCCGCCTTCTTTTCGGGTTCTAGATGTCGACCGCTCGACCACTAAAATTAGTACCAATTGTTCCCAAAAACCCTCCTAGGGAAGAAATATGTGCCGACGTTCACCACCATGCACTCCCGGCTCCTGGTCAGCCTCGGCTGGATCCGGGGTTCGTAGGGCTAGGTGCATAATACTACCTGCACATACGATTAAAGCCTTGATCATGAATTGAATTCGGCCTTCCCTAGCTGGTCGCTCTACCTATTGATCACAAGCGATTCTCTCTTCTCCTCAGTGTTCAAGGGACACTGCGCCTCTATAGTAAGTAGCTTGGCCCTGAACCTTAACCAAATCGCAGTTGTTTCGCCAGTTGTTTCGCGGATCATGCAGGTCCCGGCAGGGATCAGCCTGGAACGAACGACATGTATGCATGCACCTCGAACCTGTTCAATGCCGTCATGGCCCATCACTCGCCGCTCAGCGTCCTAGATACTGCTCGTTTTCAAGGGCACAGAGAACTATCATTTCCCCCACTCTCACCCCCTACACATCGGTGCGTGTGTGTTTAAGACACCGACCCGGATGTCTTAGTTTCGGTTTCGCGGGTGCTGTTGCCAAGGGCCCCCCCATGGACGCAAACAATTCCGCACGCGCGTACGCGCGACCTATCAGATGATTTTTCCAACACGAGTGCCGAGGAAAAGGGCTTTTTTCCATTCAAGCTGTGTGTTATAGATTCTAGGCTTTCTGGTCCGCTCAGTGTTGGAGCGATCTAGCCTAGAGGGCCCAGCTCCCCCCTCCTCCTACTCCTCCTAGCTCCTGGCAATCTTATGTTCGTCGATCCAGCCTTCTTCGAGTTTGAGGTGAGTGTAGGTAGGTCATATTTGTTCCGATAGCCCATCCATGGTTGTACGAATTGCACGGAGACCGAATTAAGGGCTGTAACCTTTTTTTTTGTGTGTGTTTTGTTCGTGTCAGCCTGGAATTGGCCCAGAATTTGGGCTGCCGATAAATTTAATTGTGTTGTTTGTGCTTATTCTCATGCCTTTTGTTCTGCTAGGAACCACGCGAGGGGGGGGAGGGCCAGAATCGGGTCATTTGGAACAAACGGCGTGGGTCTCGGGAAGCACGTATGCGTCCACTTCGATCTTGTTTCAACCTTCTCCAACCCAACTCTTCTCGTCAAAGATCCCCGAGCCACCCCCCAATTGTATTTCGTTTAGAGAAATAGGCCTTAATGCGTTCCTCAGGTAGGTACTGCAGTTACTTTCTCTGGGTATGGTCACCTCTATCTGTGCCGCCGCCGCACGGCTAGGTAGGTATATGGTTTGCGCGCCGTGTAAGAGCATGAGGTGCGAGTAAAAACATGATGTCAAGATATGGCTCTTAATGCTATTCCTGGGTGTCTTTGTTTGTTTTTGTTAGCCCTCCCTCCCTCCTTCCCTTCCCCTTCATTATCGATTTATATAAAGGGAGCTTTACTTACGCACTGTTTGGATTTTATTCTCCACCCTTAGTATAGTACCCATCGCAAGTATCCAACACCTACACACCTCCCTCACCCATATATCCTTTTAAGCCACCACACATACACACACATCTTTAGCGATGTTGAGACAATCGATTATCTTTGCGCTTGTAGTGTCGCTGTTTACGTTCTTTGTGTCTGCGGCCGATATCAGCGAAGATTGCGACGATGACAGTACACAAGACTGGTTCAATATCAAGATCCGCGCCACGGGTAACAAATATATAACAATCGAGGATTATCAAATGGATATGAAGGACGGCACATTTGGATTCAACCGTACCGGCGCGACGATTTTCGAGAGTGTATGTTTATCTCCCATTAATTGGATTGCAATTTCTGAAGAACATTACTAAGACGAATATAATTGAAATAGTATATCAACGGAACTGAGAAAGGAAACTCATACCTCGTGACGCGCAATGACGGATTTGGTTACCTCCTGGAGGACGAGGCTCCTCTATATGATTTCTTTTACAACTTTGAAATCCCTCCGGTATGTATATATTTTTCTTCTCTTTTTTTCCATAATTTTGGATATCGAACAGTGACTAACATGAGTGAAAATTAACTAGACCGAATTCAAAGGGAACTGGTCAATTGAGGGTGGGTTTCTGGCGTGCCATGAGCTGACGGACGGCTTCAAATATTTCCCGGAATCAGACGGTGGTTATGTTGTATGTGTCTCCTCTTTTTTATTGTCCCCAAAATTCTTTTAGAGCTTGAGTTACTAATGTAACGTGAAACTTGTAGATTCGTTGGGATACGAGGGAATCTGAAGGGTACCCCCTTCTGATGGTAGTTGACTAGTTTTTGGATGCTTAGTGGAGCAAGGTGGTGGCAAATACTTCTCTATAGGGGCGCATGGGTTTCAGATATTCCTATAGACCATAGCCTCAGACGGGAGGGTGATTTAGCGCAATAGCAGTAAAATGCGATACCAGAAGTGTGTGTGGGAGGGCGGGGGTTGACTTAGAGGTTTTCGAACGGTTTACTATCATTAATATTTCTTCACAGTAGTTACTAGGGTATTTCTTTGGGTCACACATTCATTTGTACATTATTCTTTTCTTTTATCAACAGAGGGTTCTATCGGAATGACACACCTGTACTGGACAATATGATTGCTGTGACCATATATCAACCGTCTCCAGTTGAGTTGAGTTGGTATGGATATATCATCAAACTGGTGAAAACGCCTCATGATTAGTTAGCTACTAGCTACTAAGCTCCACGTAAACGATTCCAAGCTATTTTCCGATTTTCCATGACATGTTTGCATGGCCTTCTTTCTGAGATGCCCAATTATCGACCCAGAGCTAGAGGCTAGTATATTCCCGGAGCAAGGCCCGTTAACGATCATTAGTCGGAGCAGGAAGAGCAGGTGTCATCTCGTCATGATCTCCCCAGTGGGTGTGCCTCTGGACCTCTTTGTTCTTGCCTTTTCATCAGTCGACCAATCTATCTGATCACACAAACCCGTTAACAGCCATAGATGCGGTGATAGGCCCTTGTGCAACCAATGAATCGGTATAATCGACCTACAGCAAGGACCAAACTACTCACATGAAGATGCCTGGTAGGAATGGCCAGACAATCAAACAATCAAACGGGCCCGTTCTAGCCAGTGCTCCAGGGTGCAAAAGAAGCTTATATTAAGCTTTCCAACATGCAACACTCGAGCCGATCGGCCATAGATACATGTACCTTGGCCGGTAATGGTCTAGGCCATATCTATGAAGCCCTGGATCATACAACACCATGAAAGGCTGAGAGCAGATATATATATATATATATATGTGAGATATGTAGCTGGTCGACAGAGCTGGTGGGGGCCGGCGTGCAGCTGTCTCAAATTGCAAGGTATCCCGGGTTGCACATGGAACAAGTCTGGAGACGAGAGCTTAATTCAATACATGTACTTTCTTGTGCTCTCGGTGCGACCACGCGTCCAGTTGCACCGTATAACGTAGGAAGACGTCTCCATACATGCATGTACTAATACGGGTAAACGGATAGAAGATGGCCTTGGGAGTAAAGGTGACACGTCTAGCCAGTTATGCCAGGCTGTAGGCACTGTTAATAATGATAATTACCAAGACCACCTTGTGGCGCCATACACACTCAGCTCCTCGTCTCGTCGCCCGCGCGGCCTATCAGCACACAGCGTTTCCCATTATTCGCCGGCCCCCAATATTGCTACGGGCCAGCCCGTGTCTGCTATCGTACCAGCAACGCCGACTAGAGCCCGGGACCCCGGGACCGTCCTATTGCGCTGCATATATATTATGCTACCTGCAAGAATTAATAGTAGCATTTCATATGTCTTGTCATATATGCAGCTTAGCTTAGTACGGTAAGCTGGGTTAGGGTTAGTTAGATGCCAAGCCTTTGTTGAACCTCAACTCAAAATATTCCCGCCCGGGGGAGACGAACAAGCACCGGCAGCACCGACTGACACCGATTGACAACCGACACCGCTCACCGCCCACCGCCCTGTCCGGAGGAATTGATCCGTATATCTCCCCCCCCCCCCCACCCATTTCCTCCTCCTCCTCCTCCTCGCCCGACACCCGGCCCGCTATTAACATACAAACCAGGACACCGCACACACAACCACAATGTTCCGCCGCCTCCTCCCCAGCAACCTCTTCGCCGCCCCCCGCAGCGCCGTCACAACCCTCACCCGCGCGCTGCACCCCTCCCTCCCCGCGCCCCCCGTCCCGGAACGCACCACCGCGGTCCCCGACGTCGCCACCTTCCTGACAAAGATCGGGCGCAACACGACGCAGCACGCCGCCAAGTTCGAGACCTGGGAGCAGTTCTTCGGACTCACGTCCCCGCAGATGAAGGTGCTCGGGATCGAGCCGGCGAGGGACCGCCGGTACATTTTGCATTGGAGGGAGGCGTTTAGGGTTGCCGGAGGAAGGCTGGCGCTGAGGGAGCATAAGAGGGGGGTGAAGGTTGATGGTGGTGAGAGGAGGCAGAAGGAGGTGAGGGCGAAGAGACGGGCCGCGGAGAATAAGGATAGGAGGCAGGCGGCGGAGAATGAGAAGGTGGAGAAGGGGAAGGGCTTTGTGTAGGCGGTTGGGTGGTAGCGTGGGAAATAGAGGGCTGGTAATGGGGAATAGAAGCTATTTCGTGTTTCTGGGGATTTAGTCTGTTGTGGTGATATGTGAGGGTATAGTCCTGTGGGTATACACAGCACCAGTAAAAACGCCAGTATCATTTTAGATTCCTCCAAGGGCCCATCAATTGTAAAATAATCAACATATAGTCCCCCCCACAAACACTCCCCACAATAGTATCGTATCACATAAGACAATTGATACACCTACATTGCCATAACAAGAACCCAGCCGCTACTCTTAAGTTGTCAATGATCACAAGATAGATAGATTCAACGTGTGTATCGTCATGGCTATAAGGCTACATACGATTAATGAGTTAAACAAAAAAAAAAAAAGAAAGAAAGAAAGAAAAAGGATAGATAAATGCACTCCGGGAATGCCAGCTAGTAAACCAACAAATCTATCATTCACTCCAAACACATATCAACCCTAACCCTCGCCCCATTCCTCATCCTATTCCTATTATTTCCCGAACCTCTCGCCTACCTACCTCACACCCAAACCCCAAAAAACAAACCTCTGCAGGTGTACATACCGCCGTACCCAGCGAGGCGTTCGCATAAAGGTAGCAGGACACCGCTGGAGTGGCATGGTGGTTCCATATATCTATCATGTATATTAGAGAGCTAGAGATTCAGCAGCGAGGCAGTATTATATCGGTTGCCGGTGTGACTAGCGCGCTCCATTGCTCCACTCTCGGTTCCTTAACCTCGTACTCAACCTCTCACTCGACCTTCCCCACGGATGGTAATAACTCCATGAATAACTTTCATGGCAAATCTACAACTGCGACAGGCATCCAGTGTGCAACTTCTTCTACACCGCACCCTTGATCACAAAATAGGTACCTACATGACCAAACAGTAAGTTCTCAAGACCCGGGTAGCCAACACCTGATTGTGTAAAGTACTGATATACCTCAGATGTCTCAGTTACCTAGGCACCTAAACTACTTTCAAAGATATCTACAAGCCCCCAGTTGAAGCCGCACCCCCAAAAAGCCGCAACATCAGCCGCGCCGTTCGAAGCCGCAGGTCAAGCCGCGAGGGAAGGTACTTTTGAGAGAGCAAGCGGCTCGCCGTTGATATCTCCAGAGATAGGAGGCATAGAGACTCCAGGTAAATTGGGGAAAAAAAGGTCTATATCAAGGATGCGGAAACACAAACACTGCTTGTTCGTTTGTGTATAGATAGCCTCCCTAGCCACTCGGACACCCTCACTCGGACAGTCAATGATGATTGGTGGAGAACAGGTATAGAAGCCACTTACAACGTTGATCTTCTCTTTTCTACTCTACGTTAACTGTCCGAGTGAGGAGTGAGGGGGGTGTCCGAGTAGCCAGGGAGGCCGTCTAGCCCGCTTCTCAATGATTTAAGTAGCGGGTGTAGTATCTTAACTAAATTGCTAGCCTTCTCTCGCTAGCGCCGGTGTTATATCATAGAGCTTAATCTAGACCTTCATTCCAACCTAAATCTTCACTGCCATCGAAACATAAGCACTACCAAAACATATTATATGAATCCAGACCAAACCAATCCAACTACTCAGAATCGTGTGAAAAAGAACAAGAAAAATTGTTAAATCTTGATTACGGCCCACGAAACACCACAGAGCCAACAAGCGTGAACCAAAAAACAGCCAAAAATGAAGAGTATACTTCCCCGGACAGGGTTGAACTGTCAACCTCTCGATTGCATCTTAACAGTCGAACGCGCTAGCCAATTGCGCCACGGAGAACCTGGTCTCGTGGCTGGCTAGGATTATTATCAAGGTTTGCCCACCGTGGCTGGTGTGGGTTGCTCTGGGAAATCTGTCGGCGACAGAGGTGAGAGGAGTCCGGAAGCTTGCGGATCGATACTAAGCTTGTAGAGTAATTGGTTTCTCCATAGATTCGACTTTGAAGCAGGCCGGTGAATTACTTTATATAGTGGTCGTTCCCCGAAGACCGATGCCGACAGAGATCTGATGAACATTCTGTCTGACGGAGAACCGGGACGTCAGTCAATTGATCTTCAGCACTAAAAACCCGGATGCCAAAATCATGGCATGAAGATCAAAGAAAACCTTCCAGGCGTTTCTGAGTTCAAGCACTGAAGTGCGTGAATTAGGGACGATCGATTTCTTGGCGTGGACCCTGGTGGTTCCGCGGTCGATCAGTTTTTACTCGGGATACCGTCGTGTACTCTCTGCTCTAGAGTACAGCGTAATTCCTCATCCTCAATTGTAGGCGGTCATCTCAATGACTGCATCATCAACACGTGCACGGTGAAGAGTGAAGAGTGGCAGCTGAAGGACAAGCTTCAAAGATACATATAGAGAGACTATCTCAGAGCCTCAACTATAACTACATGTGATGATGAACATCATCATCATCACTTGCTCAATTGCACATTCTTCTCTTCTCACACACGGCTCGAGCTCCCAATGGCAGTCAACTCCAGATAATCATGATCACAATACTCGCGTACAGGAATAAGAACCAAAAAATGCTGCCATACAAGTAACCCTATTGCATTTTCTGGTTCTTTCTCCTGTACCCGAGTACAGTCCGCATTCCGCACCTCCTCCAGATGACCAGTGCAAGACAACCCAATTCAAACAATCCAACCTCGCTAGACCCACGTGATCGGGCACATTCACGTCTGTGCTCAGCTCTGCATGTCTCACCTTCCGATTTCCCCTGCGAGTTCGCCACCCGCCCGCGATTGGCGACAGCACCGCGGGAGGTGCGGGGTAGACAACATGCAGGAATCCAGATGGCAGCAAGCAAACGATATCTCGTAACTGCATGCTAACCGCAACCCATCGCAGTGTTTATGGGCATTTCAAACACATCATCACATCATCTCGTAAATCCGAGTGATTCTCCATGCCTGGAGTCCACATTCGTGTTCCGGCCGGAATACCCCATGCTTGGCGGCGGGCCAATGATTTCTAGCTAGCTGCCAGCTAGTGCACCGTTAGCTCCAGGGCCTCCCTCACTCAGCCCTTCTCAACAAAACACGATCCCTGCCACGCCTTCCCAGAATGATATCACCAGATTGAGAGGCTGGCATATGGAGGAGATGAAAGACCGCACTACACCTACACACTCTACCAGTGGACGGTTTTGATCAAGCCCGAGAACGCCAGCGATGAAGGGGGCGAAATCAGCCTCCACAGATATGTCCCCGGCCCCGCTACTCTATGTACTCTATATATACTTTATGTATGTAGTCCGTGCATTGGGTGGTGGATCATCTGAATAATATTCCGAGACATGTTATAACCAGCAGTTAAGGTGCACTATGTCATGCTCATCGATTGTGTGCAGATCATCAAGTGCAGTTGCCCCAGACCTCGACGCAAACTAAACCCGACAGACACCCAGCTCAGCTATAGCTGACGCAATAGCCATTGCCAATCAATTGAAGGAACGAACCCGCCACGCGGGGGCTGGATGGCCGTGTGTACTGTGTTACGCTATCCCCTCTCCTGCCAACCCCTCATTGATCAAGCTACGTACTCCCATAGCTGTATATAAAGGCCCTCTTCTCCTTCCTCCCCGCCGAACCATCATCACCAAAAATCATCCATCAAACCCAATCTTACCATCACCTCAAAGAACCCATTACACACACCCCACAAAACAACTAGACAAGCATCATGTCTTTCCACCTCTCATCCAGCAACATCCGCGTCGAGTCCCACGACGGCCGCACCTACCTCTGCGCCCACGTGAACGGCGGCGGCGATGACCGCTTCTGTCTCGACGACCACATTGGAAACAATGACGGTCAGTAAACTCCCTCCACCTCCTAGCTCTCTTCCACAATCAACTAATATCGAACAATGATAGGTCACTTCGCATGGGATGGCAAGAACTTCACTAGTTCTGCCCGGAATGTCCGCTTCTCCTGTGAGGGAGGCGCCAATGTCCCTATTTTGAGGGCAGAGTTGAGGGACTCCCATGATAACTGGCACGACCGTGATCTCAACTTGGCCGAGCGCATCACGAACCACAACGGAAAGCTCGCATACCAGTAAATGCATAGCACGGCTGGTAGAGGATGAAAGGGTGTTTTTCTTTTTCCATTAGTACTTTACGGAATATAATTGTTGAGCAAGCAAGAAAGCAAACCATCGTCGTTTCGTTTTCCCGTACGCGTGATGAATTGATCCACTTTCTCCAAAACACTTTCAATGAGCCCGCTGGATATCGCTACTCGAACAATGTCCACACCGCTGCTACCTACCTACATTGTACCTGCCAATGGCTTGTTGAGCTCCGGATCGTTCCGGATTGAAGCTTTCTTTCATATCGCCGTGTTCGCTCCAATTGTTATTGAGCATGATGTCCATAGATGAATTGAGCGGTTCATCAAGTCTAACAATTAACCAGCCATCAACCAAATCCTCTCTCCCACCGAAGAACGGTAAATTGAACCCAGTAGCAATTGTCGAAAAACAGACCCATCCACCACTCCCACCCGTAGCCTCGAACGGTCCAACCTGTCAAACAAATAACCCAACCCACAACCCCAACCCCACCACGTGCACCCCATCACCCCACTCCCTATCACCCTACTTACATAATCAAGTCACACCTTGGAAAATAATAATAAAAATATAAAAAAGCACGAGCTGCTCATTGCAGCAAGGATTCAGTGGTGTAGTGGTATCACGGGCGCTTGCCATCTCCTCGATGATTTGCGCCCGACCCGGGTTCGATTCCCGGCTGATTCATTCTTTTGGCGCTTTTTTTGGTGAGGGTGTTTTGTTTGAGGGCGGGGTGTTTATTTGGTGGGGGGATGGTTCGTGTGTACTGAGTGTTGAGGTTGAGTTTTGTGGGTTGTACGTGGTGTTAGTGACATTGCAATTGGTGGGGAAAGCGGTTGTGAAAATTTTTATCTTCGGGACGGTGACAGAGTACAGCTCGTTGGGATGGAATTAATAGTAAAACCATCAGCACA